GCTCATTAAAAAACACCGGAAAACTAATCTTCGTCAAGTCCTTCCCAATACTCCCCTTCAACACACTCCACAAACTCGTGCTCGGCCTCTCCTCCCTCAGGTCCAGCTTTTCCCTCAGCCTCGCATACCCCTCATACGGCTTCATATCGCGTGTGAGCGTATGCGGGATACTGGGGGAGGCGAGGGCGGGGGGAACGACGAGGTTGGGCAGCGTCCCGGACTCGATGGCGTCGAAGAACTCGTCCTCTTCGTCCGTCTCGTTGTCGTCGTACCCGCTGCTGCTGATAGGGGGCGGGCGTGGGGTCACGGAGAACGTGGAGGGGAGCGAGGTGACCGTATCCTGCGTCTGCGTCCTTTTCGGCACCACCCTCCCCACCGGCGTTTCCACAAGTCCCACCGGCTCCCCCCTCTGCTTCGGCGTCGTCGGCACCAGCACCCCATTCATCTCCGGGAAATACCCCTCCCCCTCCCCCCCCAACTCCTCCTTGACCGCCCGACCCAACACCGACGGCCTAACCCTCACCGTCCCCTCCCCCGCACCACCCACATCAAAAAAGCGACTCCCCCGCCTCCGACTCCTCACCCTCAACTCCTGCTCCAACCCCTCCCCCTCCCTAACGACAGTCGCCAAACTCTCCTCCCAGAACCTCTGCCTCTTCCTTTCCCCCTCCACCCTCCTCCTCCACCAGGCCTCCCGCTCCCGGGCCATGTCGACGTACTCGTGTAGGAGGCCCTGGACGACGGAGAAGGACTCCTTCAGTGCGTCTCCCATCTCCCTTGCCCTGTCAGAGTTAGAGTTAGAGTCGGGGGTGGAAGCGGAAGTGATGTTGGCGAGGAGCTGCGAGGTGAGCTCCATCTGCGCGATCGTAGAGTTCCCCTGCAGCTCAAACGTCTCTTCATACGGCACCCTCCCTCCCCCTTCCTCCCCACTCGAGCTCTCCCCCTCCCCTTCCGCGTTCGCACCCCCCTCCTCGTCCCCCGCATCCTCCTCCTCATCCCTGCGACCGGGTGGAAGCAGATCCGGACTCGCATCCTCCCCACCCGGGCCCTCCCCAGTGCCCAGCTTCACCCTCGAGCTCGTCGCCGACCCTGACCCCCCACCCCCAGGCGCGCTGCTCACCCCGCCCCCGCGCCTCAAAGAGGAGAAGCGATACCTTCCCTTCGACCCCGCCTCGCTCCGGACACTCCTCATCCCACTCTCATCGCTCTCCCCACTCCTCCTCACCCCCGTCCTGCTCTCCCCACTCGCCACACTATTACTATTACTACTTTCGGCGCCCTCCCCCTCCCGCCTACACCACTCAATGCTCCGTCCCAGCGCGGCCGTCCACCTTGCAGCCTCAACCGGATGATTCGCCTTCATGTACCACTTCTGCGCCGCCGCCCCCGCCGAGTGGTGTGTGGAGTGGTGGGAAGGGGCAGCGTGCACCTCGAAGCGGAGGCGGTCTGAGGAGGCGGGTTTGAGTATGGCGGTTTTCATGGAGATGCTCCCCCGCGAGGCGACGGTTTCGTCCTCTTGGTGGCGGTAGTCTGTGCGTGCATGCGCGTTTTCGTTAGTGGAGGTGGTACAAGGAGGAAGGGGAGAGGGGGGAACGGAGCGAGTGGTACGTACATGAGAAAATCCCATTCTTGAGGACGAACCACCGGGTATTGTACCCCTTGGCGACGTTCGTGTACTTGTTGAGGTATCCCTTCAAGACGGGCGGCTCCGCGGCATTCTCGGGCGGGTCGATGAGGGTCGTATCATGGTTCGCGACTGTCCAAGGCCCAGTAAGTAACAAAATCAAGCAAAGAACGAAGAGGTGGGAGACAGAGGACGGAGAACCACGCACATTGCCTCAGAAACACCCTCACCCTCTCATCCCTCCCCTCCCTCCCCTCCCCCGCCATCTTCCCCCTCCGATCCCTCACAAACACGTCCGCCCCTGCCCGCGCCACCAGTTCAATCAGCCTCAAGTCCTTCCTCCTTGCCGCCTCATGAAGGATGGCGTGCCCCGATCCGTCGTCGAGGTACGAGAGGTCGACGTGGCGGATGCGCGGGGAAGAGAGGAGGGAGAGGAGGGAGGGGGCGGGCGGGGCTGTGGGTGGGGAGAGGACGTAGGAGCGCAGGAGGGAGCGGTAGGAGGCGTTGAGGAAGGAGTGGGAGTCTGGGTTTGGGGTGACGTCAGTGGGGAAAGGGGAGGGAGGGGAGAAGGGGGGATACGTACCTTCGATGGCCTTGATGACCTCGCGCCCGCGCGCAACATCGCGGCATGTCCGTCCCTGCGCGTCTCTCAGCGTGTCGTTGATGCTGTCCTGCTCCAACAGCAGGTTCACAATGTCCACGCGGCCGAGCGAGGCTGCCAGATGTAGGGGTGTCGTCCCCGAGCCCGGGGGGTGGATCCCGTTCGGGGAGATGGCGCGATGGGAGAGCAGGAGGGCCACGGTGTCCACTGCCATATTCGGACTCAGCAAACACTACACATGGGGGGGGTGGAGGGGGATTCTCACCTGAAGCACATCGGACGGCGAGGTGGAGGGCCGCTGCGCCCGTATCGAGGTTCCCGGCTTGGCCGGCCTCGACGGATTTACGTCTGTCCTTCCCGATCTCCGCGAGGAAGGGGTGGATGAGTGTTGGGTCACCTAAAACAGAAGGATCAGCAGGGGTAGGGATGGGCGATGGGGTGGTGCTGACCGCTCCTCAGGGCTTGTAGCAGTTTGACTTGGTACAGCGGCTCCCCGGCGGCGGGATTGTGATTTGTCGGGATCGCATCTGTGTGGATCCTCGTTAGAGCTCTCGATTGGAATGGGGAGTGAACGTACGTGGATTTGAGCTGCTCGTTGAGCGGATGGATTCTGTGGGCATCGCAGCCGGCGGTGAGAGAGACGTCGGGGACGCCAGCAACGTTGTTGACAGGCACACTGGTTGTTACGTACTCTAGATCTGCTTTACACATGTTTGGATCAACCTTCGCGGCCCGAACATACAACATGTCAACATCGAAGCTTACATGTCGGTCAGTACCAAGGTCACTGCGTCAACGTTGTCCGTATGAATCCGGGCGCTGAAATCGAAGGACGACAACGCTGAGAGAGCCGAGCACCTCCACCACAATTGGACCGCCACGACACCTTGTGACCGTCCCGAGCGATTTTTTCCCGTCTGCCCTTCCGGGCTTACCGTAAGCCCCTCGCCCGACTTCGCGCTTGATGTTTAATTCACAATGGCTCCTTCACAGTATCCCATGGCTCGGCCCACGACCTCTCGCCCACCCGATACATCCTCGAGAATTGCCTTAGGTCCGCATCAGCGAGAAGAATTGTCAAGTATCAGTATCTTACATCCACGTCGCGTCGTCCAGGTTTTCTTTCTTCATACACGACCATCTGGCCCATGATATCCGGATTAACCACTCAGGCGTGCAGGAATGGCAGTGATATGGGGTTTCGATCTCTCAAAGATGAGGTGGGGAGCGCTGGGGGGTACAGAGATGTGTAGTTGGGAGTGGTACCTCGAGCAGCGTAGGGCCGGTGAGTCCTCCATCAGCTGTTCTTCTCAGACTTCGCTGATCCATGGCAGGTCCTATATTCCGTAGGTCGGACCCTATCTCGATGCATGCGGTTGCAGTTCACGAGTTGCCCTCTAGCTTACGATAAACCTATGCCTAGCCGCCGAGGTGCCAGAAGGATATAGAGCGGACGATCCACCACGCCGCTTCCCTGTACAAGCTACAACAACGACACTACCGAATCATCGTCTTCTGCGTATCCGTCATCACGATCTTCAACCACCGATGATCTGTTCCTCATCTTCTGGCCAGGGCGCAAGTCGAGTCCTCAGTGGCACAACGTCACAATGCTCTCCTCGGCGCCGATCTCAACTGTCAGCCTACGCATGTATTCTTACAAGTTACAGCATACCCGGGCCGTCAGATCGTTGTAGAACCCTCTCCCAGCCCTCCAGCCTTCTTCTGCGAGAGCACCGCCCCTCAATTTACACTACAAAGCTCATTCAACACCTCATCGACCGTCCTCGCCCTCCTTCCGCACAACAGCGTTCCCGTCGTCCAAGCCCCAGATATCACGCGTCACCACCCAACCCTAGTTCCCAATTTCTCCCCCGCGTCATGTTCTACCTTGGATGCACGAAAAAGACTCGCGGGAGGTACCCCCGCCTCATCCACATCCATCTGGACGATATACCGAGGACCCGACATCCCGACGGAGCGCGTAAAGCAATGGGAGATGAGATGCTCAGCGGCGTCGTTCTCTCCGTCGGCGCGTGCACGGTGGACCGAGGAGGGATTGAGCGACGTGCTACCGGAACGTAACGCAGGCTCGGGTACACGTTGGAGATCCCGGCGCTCGCGATACCTCTGGGCGTATCGGCTGCTGATTTGATGAGCACCGTACCGCCCATGGATCGATCATCCGTCAGCTCATGTATGTATTCTTCCGCGGCTACCCGTCAGATCATCGTAACACGGCCCAATACATCGACCGCCCGCCACTCGGTCCCACCATCCCCTTCTCACCGCCCGATTGCGTGTAGTCGATCGGCACTAGGCCTCTAACATCGCAGTCCTACTCTGGCTTGGCCTCGCTTTACCATCGTCTCCTCCGCCTACCCATCCTCACCTACTCCGACATTGGCTGACGGTTCCTCCACCCATCATGCTCTTGTCGTCAGACACGACGGTGTTCCCACTACAGTAAGCTCACGCACGTATCGACGCCAGTTCCCCAACCCTGACGTCTGAGGAACACGAGACCAAAGCCTCGTATGGTAGTATTCCTCGATGTCCCAGGCTCATGCCTTCACGTCGCGGGGATTCTGCCAGAGTCCTCGCCTTCTTCCCTAGGCGTGTTACCACATACTCCCCCATCAATGAAAATATAAGCATGCTATAACAATTTCACCGCGACTGTCTCTTTCTCGTTGGGGATCTCCGACTCAAGTTCCATCTGATTCTGGTGGGGCTGCTAAGATCGATCGGCCGAGTTATGTGGGTATGTAGCATGGCCGTGTGGCGAAATGGCATCGCGTCTGACTACGATCACGATACTATGAGGTGTTATCAGGAGATTGCAGGTTCGACCCCTGTCTCGGTCAATAAGGAAACGCGCACGAAATGTTTTGTTTTTCCACCCCGCGGAAGAGGCCGTGGGCGGTGGTACTAGTTGCGGTTCCCCGGGTGGCTGTTGATTCTGATTTCTTGAATGTCGCATAATTCGCCGGCGAAATGTCTTGATCTAACCTCGTCGATGATAAGCAGTAGTCCTTCATTCGTGTGATAGCTCTGCTATGTCCAACGATACCACATCTTCAGGCTTCATGCTGGGCTTGGGTATATTCCGTGCTTGGCGGTCAAAATCAAGTTCCCCGGAATTCGAAAGATGTGGCACGATGCATGGGCATCAACGGGATTGTCAACGTGAAAGAGGGGAGTCCGGGCCTTGTCCGGGCCTTCACTTGATACGTTTCTTGTTGGCTGCAGGATGAAGAGATCACACCGGACGTGTTCAAGTTCCATCATCTCCGCTTGTCTCCGCTACTGTTGATCAACATTCTGACCTGGTTTTGGTCGAAATTCGGCTACCTTCCCCGCTCTCGCAGGCATGTACCTTTCGTTATTTTACTCATGACTGATGCTGGAAAAACCTCAGGTGCTCTGTATCGTAGAAGATGAACGAAATCATCAAGAATTCCGTTCTGAGGCGCAAAATGGAATCCGAGGCGGGAACCACCACCGTCGACATCCTGTATGATCAAGAATTCGATGAAAATAGCCGAAGCGATCGAGGATTCGTCTCTTGTACGAAAAGGAATAGATTATCTCTTGTCTCCCCGGGTCCTGAGTCTACATAGGAAAACGACAAGATCAGATGACTAGCGGGAATGTCGAGGAACTGGAAAGGACGTGCCATCAGAGTACAGAAACAATCAGGCTTAAGCTTCTTCATCACCGAACTTTTTCAAGTTGCATCTCCGCTTGCCTCCGCGACTTCTGTCGACGTCCTGGTCTGATTTGGTTCGAAAGTCTGCCTTTCCAGCTCTCACGAGGCATCTAACCTTTTACGTTCATATTCAAACTGTTGCAAAACCTGACTCAAGACCTCGATTCCAGATTTATAGGCAATGGAAGAAATCATCAAGAACCCCGCTCTTAGGCGCAAGATAGAATTCGAGGCGGGAACCACCAACGACGACATCCTGTCCGATCGAGAGAGAACACTGGCAAAGGTGATGCTTGCTGACATGGAGAGAGAGCTGTACTCCTTGGATCAGGAGATCTACCCACCTACCGCGAAGCAGGCCAAGATAGCGAGCGTTATATCGAGGTTTCAGATTGCTCTCGCGCCACATAAGAGGCTCCCTACCGAAGCCCTGGTGGAGATTTTTATACATACAGTGGATGGTCAGTCCACGAGATTCCCTCCAACGTCCTGGCGGTGTCCATGGCTGCTGCGCAAAGTCTGCTCACGGTGGAGGGCGGTCGCATTGAATGAACCCTGCCTGTGGAACAGGTTCAAGCTTGATGCGAGGAAATTCGGCACTATCCCGATCCCAAAACTCATCTCGCTCGCGAAAGATGTCTTACCTCCAGCAGGGCCCCTGTTCCTCTCACTGGAAGAGCCTTTGAACGAAACTCGGAGCGGCTTTGCAATGCGGACAATACTCGATACGCTCGTCATCCCCCGCCTTGCCCGTCTGAAGGGGTTAAGCATCCAGACCACCATCTCATCATTTTCTCACCTTTTCAACACCCCATCACCGTCCCTCGCCAACCTCGAATCTCTCCATTTAGACCTCTGGGGGGTGTCCCATGTCCCCGAAGTCGCAGGACAGTTTTCAAAAGCGGACATCTTAAAGAGCGCCACTAACCTCAGGATGCTTGAAATCCGACCACGAGTGCTACAAACTTCACGCATTACGAACTTCGTGACGAGCCTTCCCATGCCGTGGCATCAGCTCACCTCGCTCGTCATCGGCGAACTTCTCGACCAGGCGGCGTGGGACCTTCATCGTGTTCTTGGGGAATGTCGTTCCTTGAAGAGACTCCGCGCTAAACTGCCCTCTGTCCTCGCCGTCGAAAAGCGCCTAATTGCTGAGAACTATGTCCATAACCTCCCCGATCTCCAGCACGTCGAGCTAGAAGGAGCAACTATGCTGTCCCCGTCGTTGCTCATGAATTTGCTCCCGTGGAACCAGCTAGTTTCGCTCAAGGTTACGCGCATCAACCTGCTTCCGTGGGGCAGTTCCGATGACTCCAAGACGATGATCGCAGGAGTATATGATGTACTCCGTGAGTGCTTACGGGTAGAGGAGCTCTCAATCCATGCTCTTCACGAGCCACCGCCAGGATTTGCCACGACGTTTATATTGCCTCGGTTGAAAGACCTCACGTTGATCAAACAGTCGATCCCACTCCTTGACCAGCTTATCGCACCAGCCCTTACCTCCCTCAAACTCATGGGTCAGACGAAGAATGTGTTCCCGGCTGGGATGCTTTGCGATATGATTACACGCTCAGAATGCGCCTTGGCTACCTTCACCTCCTTCGGAATAACTCATTGCGACAGTCCACCCAACCTTCTCCGATTCCTGGATCTCGTACCATCCCTCCATACACTTCGATTCCCCGACGTGGTCCTAGACCCCCCATGCATACGTAGTCTCGCTGACGGGGAAATTCTTCCCCGCCTCCGATCCATATTATGTGGGCTTCAAGAAACGTCCGCTGTGGCATTCGTAGATGGCTTAGAGGCTCGAACGAAGGAGCGGATAGCAAAGGGTGCGAGACCAGTCATTCGTCATGCGATTGGCTACATCCCCCAGGTGGATTCCATGCCTTGGGAATTGTTGCAGAATACCACTAGAAGGATGCAACAGATAAAAATCGAGTGTGGACCTGATTTCAGTCTCCGAGTAATTTACGAGATAGGAGCGGGTGGCGCGAAGACGAGCTGGACGCATAATATGTGATTATATTTCCCTAAAACCTAGGGTGGAACTTATAATATCCGAACTAGGTTTACTGCTCGATTTGCGGAAAAAACGTCTGAGCCCTTGTCTGATGATAAACCGACGGTAAACACAAGAGATATCATGTCTCCTTTCGTCGATGATATCATGTTCCCTTTCGTCGATGATATCTCTTGTCTTTTGTAATATGCCGTGCAAGAATACAAATGGTTGAAGTGGAAGAACGTACCATGACTGCTGCCATCGAAAGCTTCCCGAAAGATGTTTGACCGTCGAACATGCCTCGATAGTAGCGCGTGAGTCTTGGAGATAGAAGCTGATCCCTTGGACACAATCACCTCACCTTTTATACTTCTGTATTCCACCTCGACCATCCAACATCACCATGACGGTCCTTCTTTTCTTGGCGCTTCATCGTCGCAGCGATTTTCGTGGGGTAGACGTATGAGTTGAGGAGGCGAAGGCAGGGGCTTCTGCAAAGACAATTTGCACAAGCGAAGAGGTCGACAGCGGTTGTTAATTATGGATGGCTTGTGCTTAACGATACCGACTTGTTTTCCCGGCAATGTGGTGACGTGGACAAGCGGAATAGATCCTGTTCGCGATATTACTGACCAACTGCAGCAGAAAGTTCATCCAAGAGAAGCTGCCCAACAGTGTTCCCGAGAATATGTAGATGGAAATGGAAGGAACGGATACATGTACACGTCGGAAGGCGGCTGCCGAATTTTCATCTGGGTAGTTTATATCAGACGTATCAACATGTGATAACATCTATTAGCGATCGACACTTACCAGCAGCATGAAATCTATCGAGAGGTTCAGTAGATTTCCTGGAAGTGCTGTGCGGCAAGGACCCATCGTAGGAAAACCTTGAAAATACCTCCGTAAGAATTTCATGCGAGCGAGGTAACATCGCATCTCATCACATGCATTCAGATGCTGCTCTGTGAGCAAACACCAATTGGGTCAAGATTCAAAGACTCGCCTGCTCCATACCACAACTATGTAGCGGCTGTGGTTGTGGGAAACGAACATTCATGAGGGGTGACGCCAACACTTGCCTCGATTTGTCCTATTAGTTCCAGACGCTCGATCAAAACAAAGCGCCGCAGCACAGCCACACCCCGCCTACGTTCCTCAGGCCTCAGGCTTAACGATTGCTCAACGATGTCGAACGGCTTGTACTGAACACTTTCTCTCCCACTTCCAATCCAGTCATCTGCCTTCGATGGTACTATGACCTCTGCAGGCCTCGCCGATCCATAGCAAGTGGTGTCCAATCTACCAGGAGCGCTGACTTCCGGCTGCACGATGGTTCGATCACGATAGTCCTTGCGGTCGGGAACACACTGTTTAAGGTCCACCCTAAGAGTCTGGTCAACCATTCGCAGGTTTTTAAGGATATATGTGGTTTGCCACAGCCCTTGTATGATGGAGATGAGATGGAGATGGCAGGATTGAGGGATGGCGCGGTGGCGAGTGGTTGAGTTGCATGACAGGCCTAGCGATTTTGAGGACCTGCTCCGGGTCAGTATCATCCATCGTACGTCGCCAGTCACTGCCTCCTCTTCAGCTTTTTCTGATATTGTACTTTAATCAACACAGGCACTGCAATGAACTCTCGCCTTCTGCAGAACTGGACGTCCTGCTCACGTTCATCAGTGGCATCCTGCGCCCAAGCACGAAGTATATCACCCTCGAGCTTCGCAAGAGGTGCCTCGCGCTCCTGGTGGCGCGTTTCGCAACTTCGTACTAAGATTATCTCGCGACGCCTTCGAAGCCGTTCACGCCGTCAACTGGCAGTACACCCCGGATCATGACGATATACGCACTTGTTCAGTACCAACACGTTCACCCTCGTTCCAAGTCCGAATGCTACCCAGCCTGACGGTGATACGTCTACTGCAAGCCAGCCTCAGCCCCCGCCCCTACCCCAGCAGCCTCAGCGCTTGCCGTCCCAGTCAAGCTCGCCACGCCATACCCACTGCCACCATCACCATTCCCATCGTCACTCCACCCCCTACCACCGCCACCGCCAGCAAGCCCGTACCAATCCCCTTGACCGATCCAACCCAAAAACCCGACCCGTACCCAAACCCAGATCCTCCTCCATAATGCGCGCC